AAATTTATTTAAAATTAATTTTAAAAATTAATTTTAAATATTTCCCACCAATAAAATTTTAAATTTATAAACAAAAAATGATCATTTTAGCCTTGCGAAACGCCCTTCTGTAACGTTGATTTTCCCTTCACTGTGAGTACCTGGTACTTTCCTTGTGGGACATAAAAACTTTTAAACAAATTTTTTTAAAATTTAATGATGTAATTTTTTAAAAATTTATTTAAAATTTATTTTAAATATTTCCCATCAATAAAATTTTAAATTTATAAACCAAAAATGATCATTTTAGCCTTGCGAAACGCCCTTCTGTAACGTTGATTTTCCCTTCACTGTGAGTACCTGGTACTTTCCTTGTGGGACATAAAAAGGGCCGGAATAAGGCTGTACTGTGTTGGGTTGGCAACTCATATGTCACATCTGGATGAAAAATAACACGAAAATGTTGCGCACACTATTAATTCAATTCATGTGGTGAGGCATGCATGTCCGTGTCACTGGCATTGACCCAAATCCTTGCAACTTGCAACACGAGTTAATTCCTTTCCCCATTATGATATGATACAACGGAGAAGATTAGGCCGGTGACATATGACATGAGAAAGTTATGAGTCATATCCGTAGCAATTACTCTACGACATTGCTATCTTTCTTTCTTCTTCTTTTCTTTATTATTATTATTATTATTTTGACAATGATAATGATTAAAAAGTTAATATGAGTTAATTATTGGTAATTGAGATTCCCAGAATGGTAAACATTTCACTCTTTAAATGAAGGGTGCGACTATTAGACGGTAAATTGTTAAAGTTCATGGTAGTGATAGAATTCGAAACACTGACCTCCGTTTTATCCGAGTTTAGGGCGAACCATTGGACTTCAGACCTGATTCGCACGACATTGCTATCTGTAAAATTATTTTAAATATAAATGTTACTGTGATGTAAAATAAATAAATAAATATTAATTTATATATAATTATTTAATAAAAAATCAATAATAAAATAATATTATTATAAAAAAATTAAAATGATACTACAAGTGATTTATATGCTAATATGCTATATTACCACAAGTCATTGTATTTAAAATTAGCATTTGTGCATAAATATATATATTTACATTAATTTATATTAAAAGTTGACTTTATTTTTATTATTGTCTAATTTAAATAATTATATGGCATTACATCCGCACACTTATTGCATTGAATAAGGTACAGATATACTAAGATTAAAACTTTCGTTTTAATTCTTGTAAACTCAAACTCCTTTCCTTATATTCTTTATGTTAAAAAAAGTAATAATAATAACAATAATTATGTGGCATTGATGTCACAATTATTGTCAATTTTTATATATTTTTCACGAAATTAATGTCAAAA